ATTCTACAGAGTAGCTAAAATAAATAAGTATATCCTGCAATTCAAATGCTATGACAATTACAAAGGCACTCTAAGACAACAGAAGCGGGCAGACTGCAAGACTGGTTCAACATTGCATGTGACTCAGTCGTCTTGAATTGTGTGGTTATAGGGTTAGCCAGACTTTGCCGCGCAGTACGAAATATAAGATGTAACAACCCAGTACGGTGTGGCACACTGCTTTGTTTGCTGTATTGCTATTGCTGTGTTCTTGACTGAAGCATATGTAATCCGAGCTGCGCATGATTCGTCATCTTCGCCCGCTCTTGTGGCATCATCACAATGATACTTCTACAATTTCAGCAATTACGCAGCGTAGGCCACAAGCCCGTCTATTTTACTTCATGCAATTAGCTGATGTGCCTAAATAGTAAGCACTGTTTGAAACAAGGATAAGAACGTACTAGAAACAGTAAAAGTGTTATTTGCCACTTAGTGGGTCCGATCTTACAAACTCGTTCAGGAACGCTCTGTCTCTTTCATCCTGGGAATGTTGTTAATAGCGCTTGACTCGCCAGGCTTTTGGCCTTCCACCTCGTCCATTTGATGCGCATCCTGGTTTCTGCAGCTCTCCTGATGCGATTATCTCCTGGGGTTCTGATGTCGAGAAGCAGTGGTCTGTGTTGAGGTATGCAGTGCTTACCGCGAATTGTTGCAGTCACTTGATTGGAGATTGATCGACCAAGATGGCTGCACAGTTTGTAGCAACACAATAAGTTGCGTTTCGGGCTGTCGCCTTCATCAAAGCCGAAGTCATTAGAATCTATCTCTTTCAGACGCCCGCAGAAAGCTTGAAATACTATTCGAGAGAAAGTCAATGGAAAAACCTAGTCAACTGCAAGTTGCACTGCAAGTTAAAAGGGTAGAATTCTCCTTGAGTAGAAATAAAACATAAGTCAAAAGACTTCTGTATGCAAAACTGTGCCTCAGTTTCCACTCATACGTGTCGTTTGATCTGATTTCCTATTGTCCGCTTAATGGCTACCGCCTCGCACCATTATTCGAGAAAAATTTTTGCCCCTGCCCCGAACGTCTACCCATGTTGATGGTAGTCAGACGAGAGTCTGCGATGCCCTGGATTGTTGCTTCTGGTGAACTATTGTCGAGTCATTCGTAACTTGATATGCGTACTGCACACTATGACGAACTCCAAGATTAGAACCTGCTCATTTCCAATGATTTTTTCTGTTGCCAAAATTTTGTCTGTTGTTTCTGTTGTGTTGGATATATGTCAGAAAACAGAACACGAATTTAAGGTTCGTTAGGCGAGAAGGTTTTACTGAAAGTTACTAGTAAGGGTGCCGTCGCTTGCCGCGCAAAGTTGCACTTCCACATATTGAGTTAGAGATGACTCGAGGATATCTGCTATGGAATTCACCGTTTACCCTGCTCCATTTGAGAAGTTGTAAACCTAATTAAATCAATAGAAATCTCAGATTTTTCATCACTCGTCTACGATGAGTGCAAAGCAAGATCAACAATGAATATATTCTAGAAGAGGTTTTTTTGATGAATGTAGACGTCTTCTTTTTAATGGTATGAGGAACAATGTGGAGATTCAAATGCAGGGTGTCGTGTCCCAAAAAGTTGTGCCTTTGCGAAGCGAGAGCGAAGATCTTTCGAGAAGCGTCGAGTACCATTTGTAGAGCTGGCTTCAATTTAGATTCTCAATATGATACGAATAAAAATCACCCTTCATTACTGTTTTACGGTAGGGACTTGAGGAGGGTTTTGAGTGAATAAGGTTCATATTTCACTTCTAAACTTGAACCAAAGCTGACATGTAGTTCCTACACAAGGTTAAACAGATCGCTGATTCCAAACATAAAACTCGCTCTTCATCGTAACGCATTTTTCATAAGTTATGCCAGATATACCACAACAATTAATCTGCTATTCGTCAAAAATCTGATTAGTTCATCTAAAAGCTTTGCGAAAACGCAAAAATTTGTCTATCGAAAACAGCATGCATGAAAACCTTGTCACACAATTTTTTTAGCTTTTTTGGAAATTTTTGTCCAATCTATGCTGCAAGTTCCTATCGTGCTCCCACAGTAATGAAAATAAATTCTTAATTGGCTCCACACTGTGAATCTAAGTTGGAGCCAGTTACAAAATACCTGAAGCTTCTCAAAAGACTTTTAACAAGAGAGTTATTAACAACTAAACAGTAGGCACATCTTTCTGGTACAGCCTATATACTAAGCTGTTGCATAAGATTTGCCCTTTTCCAATTTCCAATTCAGCTATTGTGACTTCTTGCACAACCTTTTTTCAAGAGTTTGATTTTGCTGATTGTGCAAGCTTTTGGCTATCAAACAGATAATACAATCTACGAGAATCTACTAGAGAACAGAAATTTAAGATTTTGCACAATGTCTTCAATCTATCTGACAGGCATCTTAGCAATCATCAACAGACAGCGAAAATTCTAGAACAGCGCAGAGAGCCTTCAAAGCCAATGATTTTGAGCAAATAAAGAAGCCGCTTTTGCTTTCGCTTTGGTGCGTGCATACGTGCCTTCTCGAACTATGTAATTTTTGCACTTGCCGCAAATGATGGAAAGTGATTGTTAACCGCTCTTGCTCGCCCTTGCTTTACTTCATCATCTATTTCGCCGCATCGATTGCCTCTGGCACAGGATGTTGTTGCGTGATCTATATGAAACATTACCTGTGGAAATCAAATCTTGCAAGAAAAAATTTCGTACATAACTTGTGCATATGCTAGCTTATCACACCTTTATTCGGTGACCATGTAAGGTTCCAACTTGGGCAACGCTTTGTGAAGATTATCTCAAAGGATTATGTTTTTTAAAAGATACTGCATTTTCGTCACCTGAATATCAGGCTTTATTCTCGTTAGGCTGAGGGTTTCATTAGATTCTAGCATGCATCAGAAAGAGTAAGAAACCCTTTTTAATGATACAAAAAATTTCACAATCAAATTCAAAATCTTCTAGAACACTTCGAATACAAGGCGACAAAGATCAGATAGAGATTAGGCAGCAAAACAGTAGGTCAACAAGTGCGCTGTAAGTGCTCGATTTTGCAGCTAAACCGTTTTGCTGAAATGATCCTTCTTGTAGACTCATAAATATGTCATCATCATTCGTTATCATACTCAAATAGGTTTTGTTGCCACAGCTTTGTTGCAATAATGATAATAATAGATATCGAAAATGGAAACATGATGGTTAAGATTTTATTGACTATGACTCTTTTATAAACTGGAATCTGTTCGAATTCCTAAATTTAAGATTGCATCTGGAAGTAAAACCTGAGCCATGATTTTGAGTTGATACAATTTAGTTTATGCGAAGTAGTGTGTTTTGTCCTAAAAAAGAGTATCTTAATTCTTGCTTAATACAGTGTCAGATAGTTTGAAGATATGACCATTTCACTAGAGTCACCGCGAATCAAAATTGCAAATTCGCTAAATCTTGGTGTGCTTAGGTTGTACAACATGCAGAATACAACGATTTTCAATTCGTGTAATATGGCATTTTTGTCATGCTCAAAGTGATTGCCATTAATTTGGAGAAGACTGATGGACGAACGACTTATGAAGGAGTGCCTTATATCCCATTTTTTGCGCATAAATCGATACAACATCAAAAGTCTTGAAAGATCACAAGGCAATAACAGCATAGATACAATGTTACTCCTCAATAGCATTATTACAACATCAGTGCGTCACCTTTGCTTCGCAGAGGTTCGCACTGGCTCTACTATGCGTGCCTTCTTCGTGATGACATAAAAATGACTTTGAAACTCACCGCGCAATGCTGAACATCACGAATAAATTGTAAGCAACCATTCATTTTTAGAGCTTTTCCATGTAAAGTCGGTAATTTTGGGAGAATAAACTTCCCCGTAAAAAAAAACAAATGCGATTTTGAATGGATTACCAAATTTATTTTGGCTTTATAGTCGTCATAAGGATAAAGACCACTTTGGGGTACATATCTACTCAAAAATCCTCTCAATTTTTATAGTAAAAACCTTGGCAAATCGACAATTTGCTCAGTTACATCTTTTGGCGCCAACTTGTGTTAAAGTAGACTTTTTGCTTACTTTTTGAGCTGAAGTGCATGTTTTTCGGATTTACTTGCTGAACAAATCCACGACTTTGCAAAAAGTCCAATTACTGACCTATTTTGGCGGGCCAAAAGTCGCGTGGATCCGTTTGACGCACAGTTTTCGATGGTTCCACTTACCGGATCGGCTTGTGACTTTGCACAGTTTACCTACGCGCTGACCAGGGCCCGGCACGAGGTTGTCAAATGACAAGCTGGAATTCGTTTTCGGCAAAAAAAAGCAAAGGGGATATCGTTGTTGCGGGGTCCGGGGCGAAGCCCCGGAAAAGATTGGCAGATTATGCCCTCTGCTTATTTTAACACAAGTGCGTCACCTCTGCTTCGCAGAAGCTCGCACTGGCCCTACTTCCTCTATGTACTTACTTATGTATTGTACTTTCCTTACTCATTCCCGCATAATAATGACACTGGAACTCACCGCGCTATGCAGGCTATCACGAATGATTTGTAAACAACTACTCATTCCGAGAGCTTTTTTTGCGTGAGATCGGCATTATGCCAGTGCCATCGTTATGCCAGCAACCTATTTCTTTTCATCAGAAACATGCTTAGCATTGTTGCGTTCGATAATCCAGCTCTGAGATGTCTTCAAAAAATTCGAAAAAAGAATTGACTTTGAAGAAAAGACGGCTGGCCACCAGGGATCATGAGGGGATCACTCGAAGAGCTGCTAATAGCTGCTTGTACAATTTCTCACTTCTCTCAAACATGTTTATAGTGCGATAGGAATACTTATGAATGGATAGACAGCGTGATCCGGACATCTGCAGCTTAAAAATATAAAGCCTTCATTTGAGCTGTGATCTCCCCATTGGGGATATTTAGTGCATACGGCCCTTAGCCTCAGGATCACGAAGAAGCGATGAATCGCAGTGAAGCCCTACGACGCAAGTCATCCAACATAGATTGGGGAAGAGAAGTTTTCGCAGTGCGACTATGGTGGCGACAGCATTCATCTATTCCCAGTAAGCAATGGCCTGGGCTTGACCGGGAAAACCAGCCAGTTTACGATACATATGGGACGGTCAGTATTGCGCGGTGAGTCCTGCTATCATTGGGAGAGCACAAAAGAGAACGCAGTAGATGAATTAGTGCGAACTTCTGCGAGGCAGAGGTTTGAACTCTTTGTCTCATTCTCTCATCATTAGCGTATTATGTGTTCAGTAAATCTAAAAAGGCACAGTTATGGAATCAGATCTTGGCAGTAAATCTAATGTCTGTCCGATGTCATCAATCGCTCAAATAGTCGAATATTTCGAATAAATCATTTGAATACGAATGCTCGGTCCCAACTGTAAAGAACTGTCCTGCAATTCAGCAGTATTCAATGAGCGACTGTCATCAAGGGTACGGTTTGTTTTCCGGCTGAACTATATACCCTAACTCCTCGATCTGACTTCACTAACGTCAACGTGATCATTAAACTTACATATATGTATGGAAACTGTCTCAGAGATCCAGGTAAGAGCGAGCAAAAAATAGAAAACTGTGGTTTCATACGCTTAAATAGTAAATTTACGCCAACAGGCGTCTTTGATATGCGTCTGCTCGCGCTGCTGGCGTACTCGTCTTCACTGCAGTTGGGAGGGCGGGGGGAGGGCATAAATTCTTGATTTTCGAAGCGATATGTTACTCACTGATTAAAAATAGTGTCAAACAGTAACATTTAGGGCCGCACTCCCACCGTTTTTTCCCAAATTCTTTAATATCATCATAGCGTAAATATAGAATTTGAAATATATTTGACCAGCGGACCGGCACAAGCTATCGTTCATGTTGGCTGCCCCCTCTGCACGTTTCCAAACAGACACGAGACCAATGACTGCAGCTCTTCCATGACGAAGGCGGTCGGATCAATGTGCGACGCGGTTACGACCCGCGGGTTGCGGGCGCTGTCTCACGCTCTGTACTGATTGTGATATGTACAGGAAGCCTACCTGTATAAATATTGTCCTTGGGCTTTGTCGTAAAAAATCTGAGAAATAACAAAACGTGCGCCCTTCACTTACAATAGCTTTAAGAAGAAGATGGAAAGGGCTGGGCTGCGAAATCTTACACGGGAAGGATATAAAGCCGCACTGGTAGATTCTATAGCGGCCATTTCGACTAAGCCAGCTGCGGAGTAAAAGTTTGACTGAGCAGCCTTTTTTACATTCACTGCAAAAAGCTACACCTTGGTTCATGTAGGATCTAATCCGAATAATCAACGAACAATGAATTATAAGCTTACAACGTGTCATTGCACTTTTCTCTTAATGTAATTAGACTTCAACAACTATTACCTTAAAGAATGAAGTCGAATCTGACTTCGACCACTCCCGTGAAAACTGCTAAACCTCACTGTTTGATGGAAGTTGAGTCTGTGACAAAATTAGTGGTTTACGCAGTACAAATTTGACCACAGTAAAACTTTTAAGGACGATATATATTGGTCGGTGCAAAAGTTGTCAGTTTTTTGAAATCACCCGCAAATCAGGTACAGTAATGATAAGCAAACAATTCAAGCTGTATCCGATGCAAAATTTCTTTCTCTTTCCAGCGCCGTATCTACCAGTGTGAGTCGCTGAGAGAGTGTTGAGATGATTGCTGGTAATCGCAACCTCTCGTTTTCACACCGTGTCCAACTTTCGCTAATTTTCAGGATTTTTATTCGGGACGGGAAAACTGTGATAGCCAGCAGATAGGGCAAACCCTTTGCAATACAATTTTTTGTAGCTCTGTGGAATGTCATTTAGAATTTCTACAATATATTTTTTAACGCAACCGAACTTTATATTCGGTCTATTCTATCCTCTTAGAAGTTGAAACGGTAAACAGTTCAGGTACCATTCAATGCAGCTCTTTCTCCTTTTTCTATTAGTTATGTTTTCTCAACATAACGCGCGAAATTTAAGGGCAAAATCGCGGTATTTCTTAATTTTATGAGTGGCTGATGTACACCAAATTTCTGAATCTTCATATTTTGAGGCGAAAATCGTCATTTACTTTCCAGAGCTATTGATAGTGATAATCGAGCGTTAAAGCGCAGTATTTTGAAGATTTTGCAGTAATAGCAGGTTGCGCGGGTTTTCCAAAACTCGAGACCTTTTGAAAATTTAGCAAAATTGTCAGAGAGTAGCTAAAAAGAAAATGTATATTTTAGTTGGCAAAAGATTTGCCCTTTCTGCTGGCTATTAAGCTCCCCAAAAGTCCCGAATAAACATTCTGAAAATTAGTGAACTTTGAACATGATGAAAAAGAGGGGTTGTGATTTCCAGCGATTATCTCAGCATTCTCTCAACGAGTCACAGCGCTGAGAAAAAGAAGAAGCATTGGATATTGCTTGAAGTGTTTGTTTATCTTTACTGTAGGAGAAGTGTGGGTCATTCCAAAAAAATGACAAAACTTTTGCATCGACCTGATATATGTCATTTAGTAGACTAACCTAGTTTCCATGAAAATGGTCCAGGCTGATTCGCATGTTTGCAACTGTTCTGTCTCGACAGAACAGTTGCTCAGGCGCAACCAAAGATAGTGAAAGATTAAGGCTTGGCTAACGATTTCATTCTTTCAAACCTTTTGAGTTATTTCGAGTGGAATTCCTAAAGTGGAGCAATAAGGAGCAGCGCTTTGTGCTAAAGAAAAAGATGACTCAATTCTTCTTAAGACAAAGTCAAATATGTTTGAGATTACCTTCACAGAGGTAGTCCAGGTACCAAGCAGACAATAATTTCATCTTATATATAAAGCTGAATGTCTTTTTGTCTGTATGTATGTCTCAGTGGCGCTCCCAGATTTTGGACCGGGGGGGGCGGCAAAAATTTTTTTCAAATGAAGGTGCGTGGCGTCAGCCACGCACTCCGAAAAAATTTTTGGGGTACTTCTTAAAATTTTTTCGGGTCCTAGACCCCTAAAATTTAGAAAAAGGGGGCGTGGCGTCAGCCACGCCCCCGAGAAAAAATTTTTTTACAAGGCTAATTTGAATTTTTAAAAATTTCTAAAAATTACTTTAATTGTTTACAAAAATAAACAAGTCGTTTGCGCACTTTTATAACCATAGGTAAATTTCAAAAATTTCGCGACCCATTCTCGGGGGGGGGGGGGCCCCCCCCCCCTCGGACCGCCACTGGTATGTCTGTACGTATGTTCCGAATAGAAATTTTCATTTCTGAACCGATCCGGACCAGACCTGTCACACATACACTTCGGAGCGGGGCGGGTTGCATAGGCTACTTTTCGTCATCGATCAATATCGATTTTATCGATTTTTCTGCAAAGTTTGAGCTATGGGGCTGGGAATTGGCACAGGGGGTAATCAAGCATGCTGGTTACAAATACATTATCAGTTCTCATTGTCAGAATTATCCGCTGCTTTTATCGATTTTATCGCTTTTTTGCAAAGTTTAGGCTACGGAGATGGGATTTGGCACAGGGGATAAGTGAGCATGAGGATCCGAATACAATATTAGTTTCAAAAATCATCCATTACTTTTATCGATTTTATCGATTTTTTTGCAAAGCTTGAGCTAAGGGGCTGGGATTTGGCATAGGGGGGTAATCGAGCATGCTGATTACTAACATAGGGGAATAGGCAATTGGCATGTAGAAATGGGCACAGGGAATGGCTGTAAATGGATAGAAATGGGACGCTTGTCATAGTGTTTTGAAAGACCGGGCGGAGCCGGGTAAGCCAGCTAGTAAACGATAAAGCAATCGAGTGATGTAGTGTATACTTTGGAATATTTTTTTGAGTTAATGACTTTTTGAATAGTCGAATAATCAATATATTCATCGAATAATCGAATTTCGAATATTTTCAAAAACAAAAAATTTCGAACATCCGAATATGAATTTTTCCCACAATCAAAAATGTCGAATAATTGAACATCGAAAATTTTCGAGATAAAAAATTTTGAATAATCGAATATCGAATACGAAACAAAATTTTCTCGAATATCAAATATATTCCAGAAAAAGATCCGAATAAACGAGTGCTTTGTATCAGCTATGTCGGATATCAAAAAAGAAATTTGGTCGACTAGCATAGGTAAGGATTCCATATAGTATGCAACTTTAAAAACAAACTTTGCTGTGATAGAAATCAAAAATGTGACGCATATTACTCAGTTGGTAGCAGATCCGGTTCTGCTCGGTCTACATCCGAACAGTATAGAGATCACCCATCTGACCCACTCTTAACATCAGTTTCCCGTTTTCCATTGTTAAGAGCGCTGAATTAGTGAAGGTAAAATGCTCATCCCTGCATCAACACCTTCGAAAAATTTGCCAATCATGAATACCAGTAGCCGTTATGGTCAATGTAATTAGCACTCGCTTATCGCTTCACAACAGCCACTTCCCCAGCTGCATGCTCATTTACACTTGTACACGAATTCTGGCTTCTCAAGTTCTAGTGCAATCAGTGTTACCTCTTTTCTAAGCATTGTTGTGCTCAGGCCCGCTTTCAACATCTGAAAGACATTCTAAGAAGCCAAAATTCAAAGAAAGGCTCGCGTGCTTTTGGATCTCTAACTGAGTATATATCATATATACTATATATATATATATACTATATATACCCTTCAGAAAGCTTTTGATCCAATAAAATGATTGATTGATTTCGTGATCACATTCAACCTACACTCGCATCCATGCGAAAACGTGGTCTTGGAGAGACCGATTTGCAATAGAATGGAGGGTGATGAATACAGGAAAAGGGCGCGAGCGCGAGGGACACCACACAGTCATTCGATTGCGAGAAATTGTCGAATAATCGAAATAACTATCGAAATATATATAAAGCAGAAAATCTGTGTGTTTGTTTGTCTGTGCACATTTTCCGTAGTCATGAAGGATGAGCGGTGGAGCTCATTTTCATGTGCTGGCCATCAAGATATGGTATGACGGTAGAAGCGAACCCAAGAGGAGTCAAAATCAAAAGAAGGGCAAATTTCGCTAATGAGAGATGAAGTACGATGGACTGGTTCCGTACCCGCGATGCCAACTCGTTGAAAATAAATATGAGAATGTTTGAATATAATCGAAAAGGAAAAAGTTTGAATAACGAATGTTTGAATAAAGTGGAAAATGATAAGTTTTGAATAAGCGATTATCTAATATATCCGAGATTTTGAATATTCGAATAATCGGACTTTGCATAAATTTTATTCGAATACTTTATTCGAATATTCGAATAATCGGACTTTGCATAAATTTTATTCGAATACTTTATTCGAATACTCGAATAGTCATCCGATTCGATCCAAAGTATAATGTAGTGTAGCAGCTTTGCAATGCCAATGATGCGAAAATTCGCTTCCGTTCTCTCTAATAAGGAAAGGATACTGGCACCGTGGCCATTTGAAATGCGGTGTATACCGAAAAGAGCACCTCGATACGCTGATTCTAAATCGTGCTCGATATCTGCTAAATGATCTCCTGAGAATATCAAATCTTTTGTATAAATTTGCGTAATTTTGAGTAGTCAAAATCACATCAGTTCTAGGTTACCCCTTGAAGCGTTTGACCTTGCAACCACGCAATTCATGAAACAAAATCATTACTCCATCTAGGCTTGTCATTTCGAGATATGAAAAACAGTGTTCGAATCAACATCGGAAGGCACATTTTTTAATATATAAATCATTACGAATGGCCACGGTCACCAAGTATCCTTCCTATGCAAGTGCAAAGGATATAACAGGCGAATAAACTATAAAAACTCTTATCAGTCTTAAAAACTGGCAAGCTTTCGCACTGAAAGCAAGAAAATACAAACAAATAAGATAGAAATTCATAGGCCTAAGAAACAAGTCGACTATTAAAAACACAACAAATCTATATAATCTATCTAATCTTATATCTACAAATCATCAGAGTTCGATTCAAGCGAACCTGAAGGAATGCGCGCATACCTCAATTTCTCCTCAACAGGTTGAGCACTATTATTGAGGTTTTTCAGTTTGTTTCCACATCTTTTGACCTCTAACAAGCTATTTTTGAAGATAGAACAGTCTCGGCTCTTGATCAAATGCAGATAAAAAGAGCTTAAAAGGAACTCGTTAATCGAATCCAAATCACAACATGGCTACTCACATCAGCCTACTAACTTATAATCATACGGCTAATTTTTTATTCTCAATCACGTGTTGCCTTTCCGATTCCAAGTCATAAATGCTTTACTTTCTATGTACAAATCTTCTGTCACATAGGACACTTTATAGATGAGTGTAAGCACAAAAAATAGATGACTGACTTCATCAGATGTTTTCAAATTCAACATTAAAGAGCAAAAGTGGCGTAAATTTTGGAAGTTACTTACTTATGTTTTAACGAAAATGATTGTTTTTGATCGTAACTTACAATTCAATCTTGTGAAAGTTCAAATTACTTTTGAAAAAAAAGTTCTTCCGGGGCCAAAGGTCTTGAAAAGCATCCTAAACACTTTTTCTTAGTGCGTAGCTAATCCACCAAAAACAATTCCCCCCCCCCCCTCTAAAAAATTTTTTGGACCGCCATTGTATAGCAAATGGGGCTAATGATGAGATAAGCAAAAACCTTTTGCCTAGAAAAATATTCCAGCCTAGAATAAGACGATTTTATAAATTGGTTTTTTTTAATGTTTAATCATATAAAATCGATTAATCGATTTTTCCAGCATTATCATCTAGCTCCTCATCATCTCAACTACAACTAACTACTACTGAGAATACCGGAAAAAGGGAGTCGCCACAATCAAAAATCAAGAATCCTCTCCAAGCTAGGTGAGGATTCTGCACTTTACAATATGATCTTGTTACTGTATCGATACTGTAGTGGTACTATCGTTACTGTAGTGAGTCTGTAAGCATTTTTCTTGCGTATTCTTCTTAGGATGTGGAAACAGGCAAAAGTTTTGGCCGACAAATTTTTAAGTTATTCTAATTTGTCATCTTTCTTTTTGTGCGAGTGTAGTTTTTGTTGATCTGTGGTGTATGATAAATCTACACAAGAGAATAGCCTTTTTTTCAACCAAGATAGCAAAACAGGTTTGATTTTTTACATCATTTTAATCTGCTGGATTTTTTTTTTGCTTGCTTAGGTATAAGCAGACATTTTTTGTAAACTGTCAAAGCTTACAGTTCAACAATCCCATAATCATTTTTTCGATTTACTCCACCATCACCAGCTCTGACTGACCGCTGTCGACCTTTTTTGTCAACGGCGTTTCTTTTACTGACCGCAATTCGGTTCTTTCCTCATGCGTCAAATCAAGAAAAAATCGCGCTGAGGTCGCGACAAAAACTCCGCGAGAAGGATATCGTATCCCTTGTACTCTGGGACCATAAAAACAATGTAAAAAACCCCGTTGAGAGGTGGGTCACAGCTTAATGCACGTTGTTCAGTTTTTACAGCACACCGAAGCCATTGGCTCCACCTACTTCGATATCCGAATGGCAATTATTGGCTGTGTTACAACCAGCAAATCTTGTACAGTACTACGATATGTTTATATCACAAGGTAGGAGGAGCTTAAAGTTTGCTGATTAAGAAAAAAATTCTTCCTTTAGGAGGAGATGACATCAATCAAATTATGCAATGTAATGAAGGAGAATTTTTGGAAATTATGTCACTTGTAGGAATGCTTTCAAAACCGTTGCATGTCAGGCGGTTACAGTGAGTTTTCTTAATTTTTAGGGCAATTTTTCACTAGCCATCGTTCAGTTTCCTAGTTTTCTACGTTCAGATGAACTTGTTTTGAGGAGTTCTCACAAGATCAAACGTCCTTTAACTTGGCCGCCATACAACAAATCGGTCCACCTCCTGTCTCACCATATGCCTTGAATGGTCCTGATATGTCATTTTTGATGCCAGGTAAGTTACTCTAATTTTTACAAAAAAAAATCTCTACTTCGCAGAAAATGGGCCACCCCACTATAACTTCCAAAAAATCGATATATCGATTGGCATCTGTGCGGTTGCAGGTTTTGCGGCAACGCTGTCAAATTTATCATCGACGTCGCCGGGATTGGCTCAACGTCGAAAGAGACGACGTCGCCGCAGAATGGAAACGCCACCCACAACTCGGTACCGTTGGGTAGTCTTTTGGGGGAATACGGGTAACGGTTGTTTATAGTATTGTGTAGACGTTATGAGCTCCTGCTTAGCTTTCTGTATCCTACACAGTTCTTATTTTGAATTCTTACCTAATAACTGAGCAAATGTAGCCCGTGAGACACGCAAGCTCAAGCGGACACAGTTCAGCGATCGAACTCTCCGCTGCTGTGCTCGGTACTATGGCTACTTCTGTCACAATCAGCAGCGGCGGTGGGGTCGGCGGCGGTAGCGGCGGGAACGCCGGTTCCAGCACCGACTTCAGCTGCACAGGTACCGTCCCCGGAGGAACCGCCAACGTGGTACGCGGCGAATTTTTGCCGGCCTTCGGACCGGGACCAGTTGCCGGCGAAGAGAAAAAGAGGTAAGTTGGACATGTACCTTATAAAGTGCATAGGTTTAGAAGCGGATGAGTAAGACATTTTACTTAAGTGAGGAGTCCTTTTATAAACAATTGACTCGGGTTTTGAGCAACATTTGGCTGTTCCCAAAGTTCTGTCCAAGATTTTTTGAGTAGAGGCTCGTAGTAACTCCTATTCAGCTCCGTTTAGCTGAGCTGATGTCCTCGGAAAAACTTTGTAAGCTGAACTCATGTCATCTTCCCATGCTTCAACAGCCAGTTGAACAGTCAGAAGACTGCTTGGTTAAGTGCTACGGTCACTTCAGTCTACTAACTTCTACTCATCAAGAGCTTCAGATGATATATAATATGTGGGGGTTTACAGCCTCCTACGACTTATGCCCGGAGGTGGGGCTTTTCATCACAAGTTCTCCTCCGGCGGCCTCCATCCAATACATTAAAGTGGGCTGGGGGGGAGGGGGAAGGAAGACTTGGTGATGGAAACTCCTCCTCCCCCGGGCATATGCCGTGAGAGGCGCGACACCCCCAAATATTATACATCATCTGAAAGCCCTTGAAGAGGGATATCCAAGAAATCCAACCTATGAAGTCGCAACATGATCCATGCAGTTCTGAAGAAGTTATGAGCTGTTGAAGTTCAAGAAACGCTTTTTTACCTGCTTTTTCAAGACCCTGGATCTCGGCGCTGTTTCAGTGGATCGGTACGGTTAAGATATATTCTGATAAGGCAAACCTTACTCTACAAAGCTAATGAACTCGCAACATCACACACTTTCACATTCAAGAATATGAGTTTAACTGTTAGCTGTCATTAAACATGTTAAAATGGCGTGATTTTTTAGAATTCTGGTTTTCGGCGACTATCTCTCAAATCGACTCGATTTTTTCACTCTCTGATAGAGCCCCATTTACTCTTCAAAACCTATAAAGTCGCAATTGCTGACATCCTCAATCGCAAGATTTATAAAAGTGGAAATTTCGCATAATTTCTCGTTATTTTATCATTCACAATTCTGGTTCACGGCGGTTACTGCCTGGATCGACCTACTTCTCTCGCAGTACGTTACAACAAAATTAACTTAATAGAATGTGTTGCTGTACCGAGTTCCACTTCAACACACCATTTACTAAACACGTTCATTTTAAATATAGGTATATGCGGCCGTATACATAAAAATATGCTTTCAACAAACTTTTTTTGCGTTTGTTTTGCTTATTTTCCGCGCACTGGCGGCAACGATCTGGAAGGATAGGCTCAGTCGACGTTGGCGCTCCCCTCCCCCCTCGACGTTTTTGGGAGGTGAGTGTCCGGCACTGCCACCTTCACTTTTGGCCGGCCAGTGGTAGCTGGGACCACCTTCAATTTTGGTGGGCTCGGCTCCCCCCATTGCACCTCTGGTCGTAAGTTAAAGTGACGAGAAAAGTGTGCAGAAGAATTGTGAATTGGCTAAAAATCTTGTGAATTATCTGTGGGTAAGTTACGAGACACTTAGGTTCACATTCTTTTGCGGTACAAGAACGCCCAAAACTGCACAACATCGAGGCAAAGCTGCTTGAACGAGAATCTATTTATTTATCTTATTCGATTTTTCAAACCATTTCATTCACGAATTTTCAAAAATTGTAGTTTTTTATCTCATTTGCTAGGCGAGATCTTGATAGCGGTCATCATCGATTTTGCGTTTAAAGCCGATAAAAAATTGGCCTACGATGCACAAAAAGTTACCACCAACCGTTCTCAAACCATGTCTGCGGGCTGAACTAAATCATCTACCCATTTGACCATGCTTGCTAGGTGCTGTAGCTTCTTTCTGAGAACATGCACGATTTTCGTGTTTACAAAGCAATCCGCATTTGAATCAATAGCTCGTTGGAAGCTGGACTAAGGTGCTGTAGGTTCTACCTAGTCCCGTCCCAGCCGAGTTGCTATGAAGGGGGTTTACTATGGGTTAGAATGTTACAACTTGAAATAAACTCACCAGAAGAAAACTATACTAAAGCGGGATTCTGGCTGTAACAGCAATATGACATTCAAAAATGATAAGGCAACATAGCGCGGAGGTTTGAAAAAAAATTCGCAAGGTTTCTTGAATTTTTCAATGTGTTACTAACGCTCGCACACAAGGATGGGCAGACGCGTTTGAGTGCCATTATCAAGTAGCCCAAATTCTCAATTTTCTAATAGTTCAAAGAACTCCGTAACTACCTTTCAATCCTAGATCTTTACTGTTGCGGACACCAGTTGGCTGATGGTCCCTGCTGCCTCACTTATCTTATCTATAAAGCTGAATGTGTGTACCATTTGATTCAACTGGCTTGGCATCGGCAAAGGCAGGGCTTCGTGACCTAATTAAGGCTAGGTCATGACCAGAGAGCACTCGCGCGAGAGAGACGCAGGTGCGTCGCGGGCGCGAGCGGCCTCAATTAGATCGCAAAACCCCGCCCTAATGGTGCTAAGCCAATTGAATCAAATGTTATGTATGTATGTATGTACGTATGTGCGGAATAGAAATTTTTATTTCTGAACCGATTTGGACCAAACTTGGCACACATACACTTCGGGGCAGGGAGCGTGTCATAGGCTACTTCTCGTTATCGATCGATATCGATTTCATCGATTTTTTTGCAAAATTTGAGCTACGGGGCTGGGAGTTGGCACAGGGGGTAGTCGAGCATGCTGATTACAAATATGTTATTGACAGGGCCGGGCGGAGCCGGGTTTGCCAACTAGTATCATATAAATTACAGCATTTGTCGTTGTGTTAGATTGTTGTTGCTTGTAAAGTAGCTAAGGGAAGCCCCATTTCAAAGACAAAATTGGGAAGTAAGCCAAGTTCTTCAAAAAATTAATTATGTGAATAAACTCTCTTATACCATCACTCGTTATAAAATTCCACATAGGTAATTTTGTGTGCACTGCAGAGATTCCCTTTATAAAACAGTCAAATTTCATTGTACCCTAAAACCTTGTTCAATGAGGCTTGAAATTTCGTAGTAAACGGATTTAATCGAGATTTATAAGCAGAGGAAAGAGCAAAAGAAAAGCGCTTTCACATGGCTCTAACTGCATTGAATCTAAACTCCTGAAAAATAGCTGCTTTGAACGGCTTTAGAAAGCGGACAGAACTTTTGTAACAAACTGATACAAAGCCTATTTAAAGCACAGCGGCAACCAGATTATGATCCAAGTAAGCACCATTCCCTTTGATTTGATCTGCTTGCAATGCAAATGTAATTAGCTGAATTATGTAATTTGGTTAGGTACTGCTTTGTGCGATTCGCCAGTTCTGTTCGACGCGCAGATTCGTCGCCTTTCCAACTGCGCAATGGCGATATGTCAAAAAATCCCACGACTTCCACCAAAACTTGTACAAAATAAAAAGCGAGTTTCAAAGTGGATTTGATATATACATTAATTGCAAATCATGCTAAACATCAAATTTGTTGAAAATTATATCCTTCAAAATTTGTTTGGTGAAGAGAAGCTTTGTACATCTACTAAAAGCACACGAACGAAAACAGAAAGAAGCGATAATTCCTTTTCGCAAAACGACTGCATTGAAAGCCATTTGCACATAAGGTTTCAGCATGTGGAGTTTTTCTTGCTTACGTTTGCATCAACGAATTATTCCTGGCAATATGTTTTGTCGAAATCTTGGGAAACTATCGCGACCCTTTAGGAATTGGATCCAATCGTTTATCATAGCGCTTTTTTCAGAGAGGTGCTCGATCTTTTTTCTGCTTCTGCCGATACGCCTAATCGTCTTGCCGAGTACCGCAAATATTTGGCAATTTATGGGCGTTTTGATGCCAAGAGAAAGTCGGACAAGGTTAGTTGCTTCTCCTAAACTAGTAGCGCAACAACAACGGTTTAGTCGAAAAATATTAACTTAGAAAATTTCTTCATTTTTTTAGTTCGCCGTAACTGTTTTCTCCAGGGTCTTTCGTTTCACGAGGTATCTGTGAATGAAGCTGCCGCTCAATTATGTTTGATCATGCCTTCATTTCTCACCAGAAGTGATGAACTCTTTCCATTGGTACGGCAGGTTAGAGACAAAACTTTCATTTTGCAAAGAATGTCATCGGTCGTCTTAGGTAGTCAAAGATGCCGGATATCATTATGCAAAGGCTAGTCGTAAGCGTGGATTTGACGTGGTTGATTCGCATTCGCCACAGAGCAGTCCTACATAAAGGTATCGTCTCAAATATGACTACCTTCTTGAAATTATGAGCAACTTTGCTAAGAAAGTCTCTGATCTTATGGGATTTAGCCCATGTCCTGGTGAGGATAATGACGCAGAAGCTGATGTGTTTTCAACAGCAAAGCAGTCAGAAGAGAAGAGGAAGAAGTCTGAAAGTGTAGGTGTTACAAAGCAGTGTTACAAAGCACTATACTATTTACCTAGCACTAGATAAGAATTAGAAACATTTCTAGGCCTCATTCGTAGCTAGAGCATAAACCGGCAGTTCGGGTATTAATTCAGACTTATATCAATGCACTGCACTTGCCCCTTTGATTTGTTCACGGCTTTTGGTCAGCTATAACGTTTTGTTCGTAGAAAAGAACATGAGTCTCCTATTGAAACTTGTAATATTTATACCAGTGTCCATCGAATTTTCATCTACGATAATTGCCTAGTCAAACTTTCACGATTTTCTATTCTGGTCAGACTCCGCAATGAGAAAAGAGAAATTCAAATTTTGAAGAGTTTGACTTCGAGGTCGTCTACTTCAGCCCCGCAAATGTACACAATTTTCGCTGTACGCGAATACAAATTTAGAGGAGTAATTTCGCTTGTATTGTAAGAGACTGACGGGCAAAAAGGACATTTCCCTTTTTTCGCTGCAGAGTCGATTCTATGTGAATGGCAAGTCACGGTACATACTACATATCTTGCATGTTGCAAAAGGAATCGCTTGTAATAAAAGCAAAAAATTTCGCAAATTCGCTACTGTCTTACATCTTTTATAAACATATTCGGCTTTGCTCAGCCGCCATAACCAACAATACAATACCGCTCACAGGATGTGCAAAATTTCCGCAAATGTCGCAGAATTCCAGGAATTCCGCGAAGGTTCGCGAAATTTTGGGAATTTCGCGAAATTCCTGGAATTCCGCGATATTCCGGAAAGTTCGCGAAATTCATGTGAATCGCGCAAAATACGCAGGGCCATAACTTCTTTACGAATGAGTATATTCGAAATCCGAAAACAGCATTGCATTCAGCTGGTCAAGGCGAATCTTCTGATATACAGGTTGTCTCCAATATCTTGTTTTCAATAATCTTGAATTTGCATGCCGACGCCTCTTCGCATGGGTGTAACGCAACAAGCATCACACATAGGAGACTGTCGTGGGCACCATGCGATAGTGCTCTCTCACTATATTGTCGTGCGCTAAACAGCAGCGAAGGCTCTGTTTCAGAAGAGATAGAAGAGCTGACAAACTCTGGAAAAAATCAAGCTGTTTTTTAAGTTCTACTAGCCGTAACTTCCTTCAGAATGAACACATTAGAATTCCGAAAACAGCATTGTGTTCAGCTCGTCAAGGCGAATCTTCCGGTTTACAGCTTGTCCTTAAAATTCCGTTTTCAATTTTCTCAAAAATTTCTGCGCGCGTATATTCGCAAGGTAGCAACGCAGCGCACATCAAACATAAAAGACTCCAATAAGCACTGTTGGATTGTGCTGCTTTCGCAGATTATCGAGCGCTTAAAAGAAACAGGAGAATCTTTTTGAAAAAAGAGAGAAGAGCTGGTGAATTCTGGAAAAATCGCGTTGTTTCAAAGTTTGCCCACCATGGCCCTAAAATGAGAAGCTCTACTGCTAAGCAGATGTGATTTTCATAATCAGCAGGTGAGATAACCTCTATGAGCAAGTTTTCAAAGAAATTCGGGTGATTGATTTTTTCTCGTTCTACGCCCTGAAGCTCGCTGATGGGTTTTGGTCAAAATGCCGATGATCTCGGATTGTAAGGAAATTTCGCTCAAAGGCAAACACGCTGTTTACGATCGTCTTTTGCGCGGAGTGCAGAGTTTTCTAGCAGAGATATGGTGAGGGAACTTTAGCTAAGCCACGCAAGTTCGTAGATTCGTGCATTTTACGAGCACCTCTTAGAAAATCTGCTTGCTTACCTTTGCAGGTTAAATTCACTAGAAAGCGTGCTATTCAACAGTGCATGCATTCGGATTCAATCTATAGCAATCGCCGAGTTAGGGGCCTACGATCACGTCCTCATGAGTTTTGCCCAACTGTAAAGATCGCCTGCTTCGTAGAAATTCCACCTAAGTGACTGTAAGACACTGCGGTCGCGAATTTTATGTTCAACTCAAAAGATACTTGAGATCTTATTGTATTGGATCTGGTGGTTGTGTGCCCTAAGCCCTTAGGTGAATATCAGCAGATTCGTGGCTAGAGCTCAGATCAACTTAATTACTTCCAGTACAGCAGGATAGATTCCTTAAGCGAAGTGAACACAAAATTGGTACAAACACAAAAAACACAAAACAAACACAAAACACAAAAAATTCTTCGGCTGCTGTTTAGCGCACGATAATCTAGTGAATGAGCACTATCGCATGGTGCCCACGGCAGTCTCCTATGTGATGCTCGTTGCGTTACCACCATGCGAAGAGGCGTCCGCGTGCAAATTCAAGATTATTGAAAACAAGGTATTGGACACAACCTGTACACCAAAAGATTCGCCTTGACGAGCTGAATACAATGCTGTTTTCGGATTTCGAAATACTCATTCGGAAAGAAGTTATGGCCCTGCGTAATTTGCGCGATTCGCATGAATTTCGCGAACTTTCCGGAATTTCGCGGAATTCCAGGAATTTCGCGAAATTTCCAAAATTTCGCGAACCTTCGCGGAATTCCTGGAATTCTGCGACATTCACGGAATTTTTGCACATTCGTGAGAGGTATTGTATATATACCACTATTCATCCACGCACTCGCTGTCATTCGTGGATTTATGGTTACTACTTCCCCCCACTAGATGTCCCCCTGAGTGCATTTGCTTGATTGCTCTAAAATGGAATTAGCCAAATAATCTAATAGTAAAACGAAGGCGAGTTTGCGTAAGTTCATTTGCGGCTTAAAAAAGCTATCAGCTGCCTTAGAAAATCACTGAAAGCGTGCTACAAATTCCTTCTACGGCTATGATCAACATTTTATCGCTGCTGTTGTTCTGGCTCCAATGTTTTAACAAAGGTGAGATTCATTAAGTCTAGCTATTGTTATTGTTTATTCTTCTAGGAAACGCCAACTATGCTTCCAAGGCCCACGAGGTTTTTGAGAAAATCTTTGTAGGGTATAACAGGCATATAAGGCCAGTTCGAAATTTATCTACAACTACAGTGGTTTTTATGGACAATGGCTTGCGATCTATCCTACACACCGTTTGTAATTAAGTCACCCATAAAGGATCTTTGAATTACGTATAAGTTAAGGATGAAGTTAACCAAGTGCTGGTGCTGAAGGAATGGTTGAGAATGTTTTGGCGAGACGAGTTCCTTACTTGGAACCCGGCCGACTACGACAATATCACCGAGATCAAAGTTCCACGAAGTTTGATTTGGCTGCCTGACGTTATAAGAATTGATGTGTAGGTTTTCCCCCAAAATGGAAAAGTTAAAAATCTTCAATGATTTCGTAGGCTGGATCAATCCCAACTTATGGACGATGATCGCAGTTTTGTACTACTAGATCATACAGGCTTCATTAGACATTCAGTAGATCACGTGTTCAAAGTGTTTTGCAATTATAAAATCACTATGTAAAGCAGTTTTTGCCAAACCCGCCAGAAATCGTCCATTTGCAAAAGATTTAGGTTCCCCTTTGATCATCAACATTGCACTATCCACTATGAGCCATGGCATTCCACTTTAAAGGAGGTTTTTATCGAAGTGCATCCCGAACCTGACATCAACAATTATCGTCCCAGTAATGGTAATTCTTTGTTCTTCTCTCTAAATCGCCAAACATTCTTTATTTACCAGTGACACATCAATATGCTTTTGAGAAACTCATTAGTAGAAAAGGGATAGCTTGAAAAGGATTGTGTGAATAAGAAACAAATTACAGTTTTTTAGAAACTTAATTGTTGGCAGATGCTCAAAAAATTAAGAAGGCCGTTTTTTGGTGATTTTTGCGTCTTTCTTCTCTTTCACAAGAATATTTCAGAATGGGACCTAATCTCGTACAGGCATAGGTTCATACCCTCCATCCTATCCGACTCCACCTCTCGTGCTTATTATGATATTGTTATCAAGAGAAGGTAAGATTCTAAGATAAAAAAAAACTACTCAGGTTTTGGAAAATTTATGGAATCCTGTCGAATTCTTTGCAAGCTTGTTGATAAGCATTTTACAAACTATTAATATTAGGTTGTCCGGAAAATAATGTCGCATTGCATCCTACCGCGACAGTTTACGAAAAACAATAAATGGGCTATCATTTGATAGACCAAAGCAAGCTCTACAAGATGGCATCCAAACATTGAGCATCTTTCATTTACCCGAAGTTTGAAGCCAAAATATAAAGAATTTCAAATATTCAAAAAATCGAATCTCAATGCTTAGAATTCCTGCGGACTTCAGATTTGCTCAGGCAAGTAGTCTCCACATGAGACATTCATATATACGTTTTTGAAATTTTTCCATGGTTAGAATACGAGAAACAAGAATAGGTCAAACGCTAGAATGTGTCACGTTTTTCGGCTTTTTTGCGATAAATTTGATTTTTCTCAAATACCAGCCTCTGTAAAAGCTGAACTTTCGTGGTTATACTTCGAAAGGTTTATACTAAACAATCACTTACTTAGTAGAAGCTCAAGATTGCTCTGACGGGTATGCCAAATTTCGCGTTCTCGCTTTCTAGCCATGAGAATGCCACGAAACTGTGCACACGAGTTCCTAATATAGAGAGTGTGTGCGTGAGCAAGCTGGAGGTCCTTAAGATTGTTTTAAAAGAAGATACGATTTTTTTTCAATTTTTGAGGTATTAGATGCCTTTTGAAATTGGCTCCGAACTTTATGCAGATCAAATTTGGCGCGAATGCGTGAGCTTCATTTTGTAGAGCTTGCTTTGGTCTGTCGGTTGATATCCCACATAATTTTTTTCGTGTTGATCCAGCCGCAACACGATGAAACACCATGCGACATTATTTTCCGGACAACCTAATACTATGTTTACGGCAGTCTTTACAAAAATTGAAATAATTCGATTGTTTGAAAAACTGAACAACCTCCGTGCAAATTTTATGATGTGGCTTGTGCAAATCACTCCGAAAAAGTTAGCTTTAGGCTGCACAAAGGTGCCCCTTGTTCCATAACTAACTGAGAGTACTGGACCACAAATTGAGCCATTTTTACTGCTCAGCAGTTTCTCAAAAGCAAATACGAATTTGGAGCCAGTTCTAACAAAGAGTAAAGTTTGATGATTTTAGCAAAATAAATAAAATCAAACATTTCCTGGGCTAAAAGCGGTGCTTACTCGGATAATCTGCTCCTCTAGTAAGGTTACCGGCTGTATTGTAATTCCAAAGAATCCGTTTTCATTTGCAAAAAGAAATTTCATTATCAGCATTTCTATCTTTACATTTCAGACCTCACTACTATACAGCGTGCTTCATGCTGCCATGTTTCATTATCATGGAACTTTCATTACTTGGTAAGCAGCCATACAATCACGCAAGGTTTTTTTACAGAAGCTAACGTCACGATTGCTTTGAATTTCAGGTCTTTTTCTCCGTCAAATGATAATGGCGAACACAACGAAAAAGTTACGATGGGACTTACAAGTCTGCTCTCAATGTCAGTGCTGCTGCTAATGATATCGGATAATCTGCCCAAGACCAATGAGGGTTTGCCCCTTCTGGGTGAGCATACATTAGAATAATTGGTTTTGTGAAAAGTAGCGGAAATAGTACCTCCTGATAGAGAAGATTCATAAATAGAAAACCCACTTGAAAATAGTCAGTTCTGACCGCATACGTTAGCTACAGAAACTATGAATTTGGTAACATGTCTCTGATGCGGCGATAAAAATTCTTTAATTAGAGACTGATATTCAACTTCTGCAAAAAGACATTGTTATTGACAGATCGAATAGTGAGTAGTTCTATAGTTATTTTAATTCCTCACTTAGGGTTTTTCGTTCTCATGGAAATTCTTATTGGAGCGTTAGTTACTGCAACAACGGTCTACGTATCACATCTGCAAAGTAAGCGAATTTGCGAAGTTATTCAAAATTGTTAAATTATAGTTATCCAATTATTTGATTGAAAGTCCGTATTTCAAGGCAGCTGGCGCCATGACAAAAAAGTACCAGATTGGCTTTTGGCACTGGGCCACTTTCAAATTTTCGCGGGAAAATTCCAGACGCATATGGATTCGGAGAATTTTACGGATGATTTCTGTCATACTGATTCGCTTCTTAAGAGGGTGAGTTTCACAGTAGTCTTCATACTCTTAACAAGCTCATTTGGGTAACGATGCATGTTATACAGTCCTTGAACTATTTGCTTGGAAAAGTAGGAAAGAGTTAGTACTTCACTCATACCTAAGTTTTTTAGAATCATGAACCACCACGAGTTGACATTTTTTATCATTTTTTCAATAATCGTTGACATGAACCTTGAAAATTAAGAAAGAGAGGATTTCTGGAAACAAGAAAGGAAAGAGTCAGTAGCATTTGGAGACAGAAAGAATTCTGCAAAATACCAGTTTGGGTAGGAAAATGGTCACGAACGGGTAAAAGATGGTAAACAGCGTTTCCGTGGATTCCAAACTCGATTGTTTCTACAAAAAATTTACACTCTTTTGTTTGAACAAGAGTGTCCGGTCACAGTTCTTCATTGATTGCAGGACTCCATTGCGAGAAGTCAGATACTTGCACGAATTGGTAATTTTGAACAAAATGTGAGCTTGATTTCAAAGAATCTACAAAAGTGAGTTCATTTTCCTCACTGAATTCTTCCTTATAGCCTCCAAAACAACCCCCTTTACCACTGCAAATTTAGGAAAGCAGCCCAGAAACGCCTACGGATGCGATGGGTCCATGTTTGCGAACGAATTGATAGTTTACTACTCGTCGTTTTCCTCACAGTTAATACATTCTTTTTCGTATCTATCTTACTGACTGGATAACTTTCAAATTGAAATCATATTGTAACCGTCTGTCCCATATGGCTTTCATTATTCTGAAATAAATCGTCAATTGTCTACTTATGCATGGAAGGGGAAAATCGGCAATGACTTTTTTCAAGCTTTAATAAAGGTCAAAGGAATTTCAGCCGAACTGCCGCGTTCTATTCATTTTTAAGGGAAAAGCAGCATTTTAAATCACCGTAGTTAACGCACTGCCAAGCGCTCAGAGGTGAGCTCATTGCAAGCGCGAGTAGAAGAATTTAAAGTGATGTGGCCTGGTAATTGAAAGCCAGAGACATGGTTAGAAAGTTATTTTTTCAGCAGCTGAATAAAGCTTAATAATTGAGTTTGCTATGGTTGATGCCCGTATAAATTTTTGTAGAGTATGTGCTGTTACAAAACTTTGAGAATAATATATATTAGCTATTTTCAGAGAAGCGAGCTCTCAAATTTGGTGTGCTACAAATTCTGGAGTATGTTCAAAAAGTATGTACAGGATAGAATAAGTAGTGAACGAAAGCGGTGTGATTGGTCGAACAGGGTTACAACCCAAAATTGAGACCCGCTCACAATTTTGATTAGTGTTTCTATAAGATTTATATTTTCACTGATGTGAGATTATTTTCGAACTATTAGGATGGCCGGAAAGTAATGGGACATTTTATAATAATCGTACCTTTTCAGGGAAAGGCATTCACTGGGCGCTTGAATTTTGATATTTTTGAGACAAAACGTACCAGTTACATAAATTGAGTAGAGGACGTCACCAAATCACAATTTTATAGCATCAGGTCTCATTATAAAAGAACACTTTTTACTTCTCTGCTGATTTTCTTCTATCTTTGCAAATTGAAGGCCAAACATTTTTTTTAGTTCTTATTGCTTTGAAAAATTGCAATTTCTAAAGTGTTTCGAAAGCTTTTTTGCTTCGTAATGAATCATTCGCAAAAGCTTGAACAGCTTTTTCAATATATACGCTACTTTCCCAATGATTTTGTGGTATAGAAGCGCAACTACAAATGAGAGAAGTCCAAAGGACTCGGTCCGACTTCCTTGAAACTCCAAGGATTCTGGGAGATTAGCGTGGCGTGGTGTTGGAATGATGGACGGAAGTCACTTGTATTGACGTATTGACTGATTCCTGATTGGTAAAGATCAAAATAAAAAGTCCCAAGATCTAGAATATTGCAGCTGTCCCAATCATTTCAACGAAATTGTGAAACTGATATCACGCTTTTGGGCATTGTTACCATTCCAGTTTCTTGGATTCTTTTGCAAAGATTTGCTTAGCCATAATTTTTTCTTTTTAGAGGAGTGCAGCGTGACTAGAAAACCCTGAACAACAATTTCTGGAGCATCTTCGCCATTTGAAGACTGACGATGTTTTTGTTGAGTCAACAGGATTGTCTGCGTATTAGTTCATTAAACAGCATTGTTGCTGTTTTTACCTTCTTTTCTGT